TAGTTTTAGTAGAGATGGGGTTTCACCATGTTGACCAGGATGGTTTCGATCTCTTGACTTCGTGATCCACCCGCCTCGGCCTCCCAAAGTGCTGGGATTACAGGCGTGAGCCACCGCGCCCGGCCTAATACATGTGTTTTTCTAAGAAAATTTAGCAAATTGGGCAAGAGAAATAAATGTTTCTTTATATATTATAATTTCAGGAAAAATATACATATATTTTTTATTACACACAGCTTGCTTATTTAGTGATGTAGGTAAGTAAACTTTGATATCATGAGTAGTTTGAACCTACCACTCAATAATAAAATGTTAATTATTATCGTTCAGAATAATATAATTTCTTTATTTCTTTTGCTTTCTTTCTTCTTTGGCTTTCTTTCTTTCTTTTCCTTCTTTTCTTTTCTTTTCCTTCTTACTTTCTTCTGTCTTTCTTTTTTTTTTGAGAAGCAGTTTCACTCTTGTTGCCTAGGCTGGAGTGCAATGGTGTGATCTTGGCTCACTGCTACCCTGCTTCCTGGGTTCAAATGTTTCACCTGTCTCAGCCTCCTGAGTAGCTGGAATTACAGGCATGCACCACCTAAATTACAGGCATGCCCGACTAATTTTGTGTTTTTTGTAGAGATGGGGTTTCTCCATGTTGGTCAGGTTAGTCTTGAATTCCCCACCTCAGTTGATCTGCCTGCCTCAGCGTCCTAAGGTGCTGGGATTACAGGCGTGAGCTGCCACACCCAGCTTTATTTGAAAAGGTCATACTTTAAAAGACAGACTCTAAAGCAACTGTTTAAAGTAAATTCTCTCAAGATAAATGACTTTTTTCACTTATAGATAAAAGTTATATAAATATATACTTTACCTTTATGTTTATCAAGTGAACATAAAAAATTAGTTGGCAAAAAGAATTTATTGGACAAGTAGATCAGAAAACACTTTGCCTCTTTCTCTAATTTTAAAACAGAAAAAACTCAGCATTTAAGTGTTTATTATCTGGTGTTACTAGAGTAGTAAAGAGCAGTACAAGTTGAGGGAACTTCCTTTAGTATTTATATTCATGCCATGTGAGAATATATGAGAATCTGCCAAGGGTAGTATTACAAATATCCATTGAATATTATAGTCCCAAACTGACAATTAAAATAACACGAATTACAACCCCCTGGTGTGAACACCTTGTTGTTCCCAGGCTTACCATTGGTCCTGATATAAAACACTTTACAAATAAGCAGAGCTAATAATTTTCTGTACTCTCTCTATATGCTGCGCACTCTTCTCACAACTTTATTTGAGTTAATTGCTTTAATTTTACCAAAACCCTAGGATTTAGGCAGTAATATCCTTACTGTACAGCTGAAGAGTCAAGGACAAAGATGTCAAGAGACTGTCTCTAAGTCACACAGCCCATAAGTGGCAGAACCAGGATGCAATCAGGGGCCACCAGATACCGAGTTTTAATATTAATCATTAAGGCCAGTCACCCTCACACAATTATTTTTATTTATTTATTTATTTAATTAGTTTTTTATTGCATTTTAGGTTTTGGGGTACATGTGAAGAACATGCGAGATTGTTGCATAGGTACACACGTGGCAGTGTGATTTGCTGCCTTCTTCCCCTTCACCTATATCTGGCATTTCTCCCCATGCTATCTCTCCCCAACTCCCCACCCCGCACTGTCCCTCCCCTATTTCCCCCAAACAGACCCCAGTGTGTGGTGCTCCCCTCCCTGTGTCCATGTGTTCTTATTGTTCAACACCCGCCTATGAGTGAGAACATGCGGTGTTCGATTTTCTGCTCTTGTGTCAGTTTGCTGAGAATGATGGTTTCCAGGTTCATCCATGTCCCTACAAAGGACACGAACTCATAGTTTTTGATGGCTGCATAATATTCCATGGTGTATATGTGCCACATTTTCCCTATCCAGTCTATCATTGATGGGCATTTGGGTTGGTTCCAGGTCTTTGTTATTGTAAACAGTGCTGCAATGAACATTTGTGTGCACGTGTCCTTATAGTAGAACGATTTATAACCCTTTGGATATATAGCCAGTAATGGGATTGCTGGGGTCAAATGGAATTTCTATTTCTAGGTCCTTGAGGAATCGCCACACTGTCTTTCACCAAGGAAGCCACAATCTGCCTCTGTGCACGTCGCCGCCGCCAATGCTGCTGCCACCCGCCAAGCCCTGCACCGGCGAGCGCACCTCCTTGGGTTGTGTCTTTAGTGAAGTGGCCTGGCAGGCTTGCCTGAGCCCACTGGACAGGGTGTCCCTGATGTGGTGAATCATCACTGTGACATCAGCTACCTAGGGATGGGTCTCAGGCTGAAGACTGTTCTCTACCATCCTAGAAGCAGTGGAATAAAACTTCAAACTTGTCTTCCCTACTAGGAGTGAGCTCAGAATACATAAAGAAGGTTTCAGGGTGCTAGGAGCAACATGTCCAGGTGTAGAGGGGCTGTCATAAGGGAAGAAGGGCCAGGGTCCTCGGTAATCTGGGACACAGGGCCTGGCCTCATAGGGAAGTCCAAAAAGAACAAGACCAACAGGAACTCCCCTGTGAACCAAGCCAACCTAGATCCAGCTGTGTTGATTACCTTCACGGTGAGGGAGGAGCACAGCCTGAGGAGCTGTCAGCCTTTGACTTTTTGCTGGGCATATGGCTTTTCAGAATGAAGATTACATTTCCCAGGCTCCCTTGTAACTAGGGTTAGTTATGTTAGTTATGCCGCTCAGTTCTGGCCAATGGGCTATAAAGACCATGTGTGTGTGTGTGTGTGTGTGTGTGTGTGTGTGAGTGAAATTAAAAGGACTTAGATCTTTCTCCTTTACTTTTAACTTTCTTACTGGTGGGAATGTGAATAGATTCACCATAGCAGCCCTGAACCATTACTTTAGATATTTATATGAGAGAGAAATATAGTTCTTTCTTTTAGAAGTCATTTATTTTGTGTTGTCTTAAACTGGCAGTTAAATCCAACCCTGTAAGGGGGTGTTAAGACAGAAAGCACACTAATAGGAGAATGAAAATATCTATTTCCCAGGTTGCTCCATTTCAATATTTTATACCATTAAGGACAATGATCACAAAACTGTTTCTCAGACTATTTTTTCCTGTTTTTTAGAAGTTTTATTTTGTTTTTAATTAACACAATAATTGTACATATTTATGGGGTTCAGTGTGATGTTTTGATACATGTATATATCATGTAATGATCAAATCAGGATAATTACCATATCCATCACCTCAAACATCATTTCTTTGTGGTGAGAACGTTGAAAATTATGAGGCCTTTTCCTTGGAATTCTTGCATAGATGGTTTAACATCTTGCTTTGGAAAGTAAGGATAGCTGATACCTATTTTCTAGATGTTCCAGAGGAAACTGAGCCAGAAAGAGTTCCATTTTAACATTCTGTTATAATCATGTATATAAACTAATAGTTCCAGAAAATGCACGCTATAGTTAGATGACAGAGCATGTGTGTTATAGACTATAAATGCTCAAGGAATACAGAGAATGGAGAAATTATTGTAGGCTGGATTAGTTGGAGAAGTTTCTGAGGTGTGACAGACTTGAAATGTAGGGAATGAAGGTCTTTGCTAAAAGACAAGAGGGTGTGCCAGGTAAGGGTGTGAGTGTGTGTATGCAGGGGTGAGGCAGTTTAGACTGCACAGGTAGAAGCACTATAGTAAGAATGTGCATAGTTCACATGGGGCCCTTTGTTTGGAGCTTTATATTTCTTGGTGAAACCTTATCTCTATTCACTTCCTTGATTTTTCTTCTTTGTCTTCCAGGGTTGTTATATGACTGCATGATGATATCTTGATTGCCTATGCCTTTATTGATGGAAAATAACGCCCCTCAAAGTACTCTCCATATATTTATGGGTGTTTTTCAGGAGTGGAAGACACTACTGTCTGCTTTTCCCAAAGTCATCTCCTCTATCTAACCCCAACACCAGTACATGTCCACACTCCAGATATTTCCCTACTCACAGACCACAGTTTTGTTTGGGTATCAGGCAGCTGCATTGTTCAGAGAGCTTAGACCCCACTCCCATAAAGATAGAGCATCTTATTCCTGTAAGCCAAGCAAGGGAATCTTGTTTCCCAGTTCAGTGGTTGGTATAGGCACTTGGCATATAGTGCAATTCTAGCTCATGTGTTGCAAGGAGGACTGGAGAGAGAGGTTCTTCTGGGAAAGTTATCTTTGCCATTTAAGAGGGATACAAGGAAGGAGTATTCTGTCTTAAGTTTGTGTGAGCTTGTGATGCCTAAAACATCCACGGTCATCTTGGCCTGAGATGGGATAGCCTGAGGCAAAAGCCAACATACCTGGGAGAGCAGAGCAGAAAGACAGAAAGTCCTTGATGGTGTCATTGGATTGGGAACCACCCAACCCTGACATTTCTTAATTTCCAGACTCTTTGTTACATGAGAAAATAACCCCCTTTTATTGCTTAAGCCATTTTAGCTTGGTTCATGTTTATCTGGTGGATATGCCAGAGTGCTGCTCCCTATTCAGAAATGGCCTTAGTTCTTCTCTCCACAAGGGTGCTGTTTGGCAGCTTCTGCTCCTCATACCACCTGGACGGAGACCGAGAGGGCTCCTCCTGCTGGGGAGCCCTTTGCAACCATTACATTGACCTCAGGGGAAACAGACCCAGCTGTTAATGTTGACACTTCGTCATAGGCATGGGATCAATCTTTCCAGGAATTATCCCTTGTAATTCCTGACAATGCAGCAGAGGCTGGGATGTAACTTTTTTTTTTTTTTTTTTTTTTTTTGAGACGGGGTCTTGCTCTATCACCCAGGCTGAAGTGCAATGGTGTGATCTCTGCTCACTGCAACCTCCACCTCCTGGGTTCAAGTGATACTCCTGCCTTAGCCTCCTGAGTAACTGGGATTATAGGCACGTGCCACCATGCCTGGCTAAGTTTTGTATTTTTTAGTAGAGATGGGGTTTCACCATGTTGGTCATGCTGGTCTCCAACTCCTGACCTTGTGATCCACCTGCCTCGGCCTCCCATAGTACTGGGATTACAGGTATGAGCCATAGTGCCCAGCCAGATATAACTTTTAACAAGACTTCACAGAAGGTTCAAGGATGATGGAGGGGAAGTGCATATGCACAGTAGCTCGCAACCGAGGTGTGCATGGCTCAGGCTATCTTCAGAGTGTCTTGGCAGACCAGCTCCTGGTCTTATTCCTGCTTTATCTGGGGCAATTCGGCAACCCCTTGCCCCCTCCCCCTTGCACCATTCTTCTGCCGCCAGAGAGAGTAGAAAGATTTCCCTCACACTAGTCCTTGGGCTGTGCAAGGACTTGTGTACTTGTAGTCCAAGTACTGGCAGCATCAGCGTCACCTGGGAAATTGTGAGAAATGCAGAATCATAGGCCCTGCCCTAGACCCACTGAAATATAATCTGTATAAGCCTTCTAGGTGATTTGTAAGAACATTAAAGTTTAAGAAGTTATTCTAGTCTAAGGCTTGCCTCTCGTGCCTTCATTTCCTGTTCCAGATTTGAACTCTACCTGGGATGACTGGCTATGGGAACATTTTTTTTTTCAGGGAAAACTCCACCCTCACAGCGATGTAGACTTTTGGGCTCAACAGGACACTCATACAATTCCATACAACTAGTACATAGTCTCAAATCCAGGCTGGTCAGTTTAAATAAATGGTCACTATGCGGCATGAAAAGCCCAATCCAGGTAGGGACTAAGCCTTTTCAACTTTAAAAAATATTATAAAAGTAACATTAAAATATTAACATTTAAGACAAAGTGAATTTTATATAAGTTGATATTACATTCTCATCCTTGTCTATATACATGTATATTTAATTTTTACATATTTGATTTAATATTTAATGATTCGATTTTATATTCTGCATTTTCATTCAGTATTACACTGAGATAGGCTTCCATTCTGTTATTCTTTTTCTCTTTCCCATAGCCCATATTTGCTCATTCTTACACCCTGAGATAATTTATGTTAAAAACTTGATTCATATTTTTGCATGCCTTTCTCCATCCTCATGCAAATATATGCACTCATGTATATGTCATTTTTTGGGTCAGCTTCTCTTTTCTTACAAAAAGAAATTTTATTAAGCATTTATATCAGGTTGGCTTTTTTTCCCCTAACCATCATGGTAGTCCTCCAGGTCAGTAGGCACAGAGATAACTCCTTATAGTTGCATAATATTCTTTAGTATGGAGGTATTAAAATTGATGCAACTCTTTTCTCTTACTAATGGATATTCAGATTGCTCTGGTCATATGTTTTCTTACACATAGAGCCTAATGTACTCCATACTTTTACCTCTAAAGACAGATGCCTATAAGTAATATTGGTGGGTCAAAGGCTATATAGGTTAGAGTAAGCAAACTGCTGTAACAAATAGACCCTAGAATATATAATATTTCAAACATAATAAAAGTGAAATAGTCCATGTTAGTTCCGGATACTCAGAGGGGTCTCTGCTACACATAATCACTCTGGGATTTGGGCTGCAGGGGCTTTGCCACCTTCAACAAATGAATTTTGTGTCATACCTGAGCTAGGACTCCGTCATCTGCCACAGAGGAATCGGAAAAATGTAGTGTAGGTGTGCCCCGAATAAGAGGAAACAATTTTTTTTGAATAGTTTCTGTGACAAAGGGTCAATAATATTTAATTTAAATATATATTACCAGGTTGCTTTTGCAAATGGTGGTAACAGTTTACATTCTTACTAGCAACATGTGAAAGAGTCCATCATCTGGAATCCTTGCTGGTGCTGCATGGTATCATCCTTTAAAGCTTTCCAGATCTGATGGATGAATAATGAATGGCATTGCTTTAATTTGTATTTTCTTGGTTATTACTGGTTAAGTGTCTTTTCATAAATTTAACAGTCATCTGGTTAATTCGTTTATTTCCTACCTGTTCTATGTTCCCTTTTGTCTCCTTTCTTGCTTTCTTTTGGATTATTATTATTATTATTGTTATTTTTGAGACAGAGTCTCTGTTCTGTTGCCCAGACTGGAGTGCAGTGGAATGATCTCAGCTCACTGAAACCTCCTCCTCTCGGATTTAAGCAATTCTCATGCCTCAGCCTCTCGAGTAGCTGGGATTACAGGCGTGTGCCACGCATGCCTGGCTAATTTGTGTATTTTTAGTAGAGACACGTTTTTGCCATGTTGGCCAGGCTGGTCTTGAACTCCTGGCTTCAGGTGATCCACCCACCTCAGCCTCCCAAAGTGCTGGGATTACAGGCGTGAGCCACCATGCCCAGCCTGGATTATTTTTATTATTCTATTTTTTCCCTCTTTTAGTTTGCTAATTTTACATTTTATTTTTGTACTCTTTTAGAGGTTATTCTAGATTTTAAACATATCTCCTAGACTTATGAAAGTCTAATATAATGTTTCAGGTTGGGTCCCCCCGGAGATAGACTTTGAGATGTAGTTATTGTTCAGGAAGTTTCCTGGGGAAATGTTCTTGGCTTAACACAAGTGGAAGGGAAGGAAAGGAAGCAAGTCAAAGGGGGAAGTTGGGTTTTGCTGCAATTAGAATGAAAGACTAAAGCCCTCTCCAGGGAACCTTGGAAGTTGGGATGGCTTTTCAGCATTGTCTTGAGTTTGGGTGAGGCGCCAGACTTTTATATCCACACACTGAGCAGTTATTGGATGCAGGCAGCCTTGGGAAGGGGGCATGTCACTGGTCAAGGTGGCCCTTTTCAGCTGATGGCATCTCCCAAAGAGAGGGGACAGCTGAGGGAGTAAGTCCCTAAGTCTTGAAGGGGAGGTCTGACTGGCACAGGTTAGATTACACTACACGTAAAACAGTACTTTTACCCCCACCCAGCAGTTCAAGGACCTTAGAACATTTTAACTTCATTTGGTTTCTGATTTGTATTGCTATTGTCATTTATATTTATTCTGTGTGTATTTTAACTGCCGTGGCATGATTATTACAGTTTTTATATTACATATTCATTTATGTTTTCTCACGTACCTTTTCTGTGGCTCTTAATTCTTTCTGCATTTCTAAGTTCCATTTGTGATCCTTTTCATCTTCTCGAAGAACCCTCTGTAGAATTTCCTTTGGTACAGATCTATTGGCAATAAATTATTTCAATGTTTCTTTGTCTTAAAACATCTTTATTTCACTCTTTCTTTAGGGATATTTTCACTGGTATAGACTTCCAGGCTGGCAATTATTTCCTTTCCTCTGAAAATGCCATTATATTGCCCTTATTCTTGAAGTTTATTTTCTCCGGATGTGGAATTCTTGGTTGATGACTTTCTGTTCCAGAACTTTAAATGTTTCACCAGTGTCTTTGGTATCTTACTTTCAAATGAGAAGTTCATGATATTTTGAGTCATTGTTCAGCCGTGTGTTTTGTTTTGTTTTTTTTTTTTTCTGGTTGTTATCAAGATTTTCTCTTTATCTTTGGTATTCAGCAGTTTGACTGTGATAATATTGATGTCATTTTATGTGTACATGTCCTGCTCATGAATCACTGAGTAAATTTATGTCTTTCACTAAATTTGGAAAAAAATTTGGCAATTATTTCTTTATTATTTATGTCCTACTCTGTCTTTATTCTTCTTCTGGGATGCAGTTATATGTATGTTGGATATTTTGATATCATCCCACAGGTATTCAAAGCTCGTATTCTTAGCTATAATCTGCCTTGGGGATGTGTGCTTTGAGTATTAGCCAGAGATTTGATCAGTTTAAACAGAGAAATTGTGGTCATCCTTTCTGACTGTATCCTTTCTGAGAGTTCCCTCTTCCTTCCAGTGGCTGATTATCCTGAACTCTGTCTTCTACTTTTTGCAAGCCAGTGAGGTAGAGGTTTTCTGTTGGAGTTCTATCAGAACACAGTATGCAGCACTGACTTTGGCCTATACTCAGGCAAAATGCTGTAAAAATAGGTAACTCACCCTGTGCTATTTATTTTTTCCAAGTGTCTACTTTCTTTCACAATTTACCTGTTTGTTCACTTTCCAATGTCATTAGGTTTTTTTTTTTTTTTTTTTCTAATTTTGTTCAGAGTTTATAGTTGTGATATATGGGAAATTTGGGTATGGTAGCAGCTACTTTACCATATTGGAAGTGGAAGCCTGTTTTTTTTTTTTTTTTTTTTTCTTTTCCCCCAGCAGTTTGCAAGCATCATTTCATTGTTTCCTGGCTTTGTGAAGCATATTCACCATGCACTGGTATCAATCTCAAGGAAGGACTCTAAACACTGCACTAGCATCACTTCACTTGCTTGAGGCTGGTAACATAAAAAGTTAAGTGAAGCAACTTTTGTACTCATAGATAGGCAGCAGAGGATCATAGAAGCCCGGGATTCATGACGAGCTGGTTCGCTAAGCCTCAGGAAAGCTGTCCAGGGAGGATGGAGTCTCCTATGCATATATCCCACTTTTCACCACAGCTAGGGTCCCTGAAGGTGTGTTCCACCCTGGGTTTTATACCAGAGGAAACTGGATTCATTGGGCTAAAGTGTTGCAGGAGATCTTATTCTCGGAGGGACTGGAACAGAGCCCAAGCTGTTTTGGCCCGTTCCTCCTTATCTCAGGCTGTTGCATTCCCAGCACATTCTATAGTTATTCTTGAGAATTCTAAGTAAGAAAAGAAAGTAAGGATTGGTCACCAAGGTCATCTGGGGACATGTCCATCAGGTTTCAAGTATTACTGTTGGGAATTCAGCTGTCAGTCTTATTGTCACTCTATTAAAGGTAATGTGTCCCACCACCCCTGCCCCAGCTGCTTTTAGGATTTTCTCTTTTATTTTGACCTTCAAAATTTTACTGTGTTTATCAAGGTTTGGATTTCCTACAGCCTGGCTATCTTCTTCTGGCCTATCTTCCAGATAGCCATTATCTTTTTGGCTGCTGCTAAGCCCCATTCTTGAATTTTTAATTCCAATTGTATTCTTCTGTTCCAGCATTTATACTTAATTCTTTTAAAAAAGTTTAGAGATTTTTCCATTTCATCATATAATATCTTGAACAAATTAATCTCAATTACTTTATAATCTCTGAAACTCAAATGTCTCAATTTTGTGTTAGTCTGTTTCTATTGTCCGTTCTTTTTTTGTCGGTTTTTGGCTGTTTAATCTCCTCTCCTAGCATGCTTAGACATTCATATAAGAGCTTTTATGCTAATCTGGAGTTTTGTATGATGTTACAGTTTTCCAGAGGACCTGTTTTGTGTCTGGCATTAAGTTGCCCTAGGGACAGATCACCTTAGTCAGACCTAGGATTGAGATGATTTGAAGGTAGGCAGATTTTGTGAGGTCGGATTTATTTTGTTCACCATGATGCCTAGGGTATAGCCAGTGGGAGTCCCAACTGAAAGCATACTGTGGTTACCAGGGCACCTTCTCTGTGGTGATCTTGGAACTCCAATTTCTGCTTCCCTCCCCGCCTGAGACTGTCAATGCTCTGTTTAGTCTTTCAGTTGCTACTTTCTGATCTGGCGTTCAACCTTTTAGCTGTTGCTTTGAAACCTGTGAACACCAAGAGGACAAAAGCAGTGATGAATACTGGATTCAATTATCTGCAGTTTTCTCTCCAGGAATGTCCCCTCAAGTCCTCCTCAAGTGCTCCTCAGCTTGGTAGTTCTCTGAAGCCAACAAATACATTTTTAAAAGTATCTTGTCTGAGTGTTCTAGTTGTTTTCGGTGGGAAGGTGAGCCTTTAACAAACAT